CCATATCTTTCCGAACATTTTCCAAATCAAGAACAATTGTTATCACTATCGCTTCATAGATCCTATCAATTAGAATTTGCAAACCGGTTCAATTGAGATTTACATGCCAAACGTGGAACAATACCTACTTTTATGAGTTATCGAACTAAATGTTGTTTGCATAGTTAAAGCAAGTGTTTATGTGTGTGCATGTGAAACGGATCTATCATGCTAATAGTATATAGTGCTCAGTTGATTTTAATCGTTGTCATCTTCCGAAATTTATGAATCACATTCAGAGAATAACAATTTCTTAAATGATTTTCAAGCGATTTATTACTCATACGTCGTCGTACTTCAATGAAAAATAGATTTTTACCATTTGATTTTATCGAATTTGATGTGAATAAAAGGAAAACAACCGCGCGTAACATATAATCAACGAGATGGAAGCACAAAAAAAACGAAACCGTTCAACGCGCATTAATGGCATCCCAAATGCGATAATCGTGCACATCCAGCTTAAAAACGTATATGTACAGAGAGAGAGAGCGAGCGAGCAAGAGAGAAATATATACATTGAAGATCCAGCTATTGGCTGACTGTCGTTGTTTTTGTTGTTACTGCTATTGTTATTTATTTGGCGCGAATTTTTGTTGCTTCATTCAATATGAATTTTAGATGCCTGGGAGTATGCAAATGTATGAACACAACGATATCTTTTTACATAATTAACTTTAAATAAAATAAATCAATGCGAAAAATCATTTTTATAGTTGATAAGCGAACAAGAGACTCGGAAAGATTTATAAACGGTTCAGCACGCATCGCTGAAGAATAAGAACAACAACACTCCTAATATGACTGAATCAAAAACAAATAGAGAAAGAGAGAAAAAAGCACGCCGTATTAAACCATTATTGTTAATGCGTCGAAGATCATACGACGCGTTCGGCATGCATTTGAACGGTTTACGAAATGAAATAAAATCAAATAAATACATTGTCACGACTTCTTATGCCATATCCTCTTCGGGCTAAGTGAACTTTTGTAAATATTTATTTATAATCATACGAATTCACTTCCATTTTCTCTAGCATATATTACAAATTTTGCATGGATAAACAAATGCAGCAAGCAAAAGTACAAACATTTTGATGATAAACAATTTGAAAAGCTCAACGAAAAATTTCTTGTGTTATTGCACACCCGCACACAGCCATACTCATTTCCCTCCCGGCTTGCATTCGATATATGCTGTGTGCGATGCCGTTTTCTGTGTTTGTGTGTGTTCCGAATGTATATTTTCATCAAAATGCAACAGCAAAGATTTCGGGGAAACGTAAATATTATCAGTCTTCCGCACGATCGCAATAATAGCGCCATAACTCTAACCATTTTAAACTGATTTCTGTTCGGCGAGTGTATGCGTTTCAATCTCTTTACGGTTATGTGTTTTCTTTTTTTTTTTCATATATAAATACTGTCATGGTTTTGCTCTTCTTTGCTACTTCATCGGCAACCAGCTACTGAATATGCGATTACATTACAATTCATCGCTCCTTCATTTTTCTACCAGCGCGCGATATATTTACACCAACCAATACAAAATTCAGCTGCCTTTTGCCTTACAAGAATCCGTTTGAGATATGTAAATAAGTTGTTTTGAAACAATTTAACGTGAATAAGCCAGCATTCGGTTTCGTAGAAGTAACCAAATCGAATGCAGATTGACTTTGGCTTGTTGAGATAGTATAAGTTCAGCATGGTGAGAGAAACAACCGGGTTGGTTATATTTTGTTGTGCTGTTCGTAACGAACCAGTCAGACAAGCGATTAAAATCATTTTTTGAAACATCGATTGATGATTTGCTGCACATTTGAGCATTTTTCACAAATAAAATATATATAACATGTTCGACATTTTGATATTTTTTTTAGCATTACTTCAAATGTATTTTATCAGCATGTGTTGGAATGATATTACGTTTGGGATATCAAATATTTTTATCTTTCGTTATCTTAATATTGAATCTATTAGTTTTGTCGAGCAGCAACGCTTGCAATTTAATGTCACATCAAAATAATACAAACGACCAAAAATACGTGCAACGACCACTGAGGAGTGGGGGGGGGGGGGGGAAGAGAAAGAGAAAGAGAAAGAGAGAAACACGATCAATCAATGTGCTCGTATCGCCAGAGAGCAAATAAAAGATTATTCGATAAACGAAAAATTCCATTTATAATGGAACAAATGAAAAAGAGAAAATAGCGACGATTTCCTCTGCGTTTGTGTTTGTGCATTTCAATGAAAAGGTAATTTAATGTTCGTTGTCGCACAGACCCACCCACACACACTCACTCACTCATACATAATTTAACCGGTATAAACAGTTTAGCACACATTTTTCATGAACTTAGCAATTGTAAATAGTCGACGCCGTTGCAAACGTTAACTTTTGGATTCTTATCGCACTTACAATCGTTCGGAAATAGTACGATAAGGGTGAAAAGCGCACAGTGCACCAATGCCATTCGACATGGTATAGCATAGAAGCGTTGCTATGTACTCTATGCTTTCATCATCATCGCCACGAATACAGCCACCATCACTACCACCACAGCACTCTCATTGAAGTACTACAACAAAAATGATTGCATGATCGCATAGAATGCTTGAATGCTGAATGAAGATAAAATATTCTATTTGTTGTGTGTTATTTGAATCAACACAAAAACACGCAGCAGAGTGCAGCGATAGGAGAAGGGCTTGACTGCAAGCAGATAAGAGTATTACACAGAAAATGAAAAAAAAAAACACAATCGGTTTTGATGTTGATTCACAAACTTCATTCATGCTCCGCCATTCTATTCCATTCATTTGGTGTTTTGTGTATCCTTTGTTTGAGATTCGAAAACGCATAAAACTCGATAAGCGAATGATTCATCAAATGCTTCTGGAATGTAGCCATCAAAATCGACCCAAAAAACGGATAATTTTCAATTAGAGCAGCCCGTTTTCTCCAATAGTCGAACCAAGAAAACAAAATCAAGTAAAATCAAGAAAATCCAAAAAATTCGATTTTCTAAAATAAATAAGTTGTTCCTGGTGCTCTCTGTACGTTCGATGTATGTCTGAGGCTACATGTGCTCCAGTGCCAATGTTATCGGTTATCTTTCGTAAATCTGTATGACAGAAATATAATATATCATGTCAGCATTAAATGCATGCATAGCACACGAACCAAGTTTGCATGGCACCACATTCATTTGTTTGGTTGTATGCTGAGATAGATAGGAACGACCGGCACATATACACATGCACAAACACACCGATACCGATGCAGACATACAATCACACTTACAATCAAATACACTAATACACACAAACATCAGAGTCAGAGCGAGAGAAAATACCATTGTTGATCGGACCAATTGATAACGTGCGCTTGATCTCTCCTACCCTTACTGTTCATCGGTTCATGTACACAGTACACACAAACGCAAATGCATGCCCGATATACATAATAGTGTCTGCTGGTTCTTGCTGATAACACCGAACCGACAAACTTGAATTAGACTGAAAGAGAAAAATGTGCACAGCACACGAAAAATAACAGCAAGAAAAAAGACACATGCAAACCATACACGCATTATAAAACATTTTAACGAACGTTGGAGAATAGATAAAACCATCACATCGGCGAAAAGTTCCGTTTCCATTTCGCTTTCGCTGTACTCCGCTATGCTCTTTCTCTATGTGTGTGTGTTTGTGACTACGTTTGTTGTGTTATTTCTTTTTCATTCTTTGCAATGCTGTAATACATTCCATTTGGCTTGTTTAAATGAAGCACAAGCACTGATAAGAAATAAATCTTTGAGTGAGATAATGTTTTTCAAAAAAAAAATCTCCCGATAAGAAGACTGGTAGACGAAAAATCTTGGAATGGGGTCGAAAATGTTTGGTTTGCGACAATGCCGCCGTTGACGTCATATTAGATTGAGTCGGAAAAACGGTAAACTACGAATTAAACCTTAAAATGAAAAAGTTTTCACATGTTCGTAAGTTTACCATTGTCATTGTTACCTACGGTTTGGGTATTCAAACACGCCACAATAATATCATACTACAATAGTAATGAACTCTGTCTTACGCCAACTTGAAGTTGGTGTCCAAAAATGACACCGTACAAACGAAAACAACTTCTGATGTTCAATGAGATATGCAATGACAGTGTTATCTATGTATTTTTAAAAAAATACATTCTTTTCATGCTCTACCATCATCCTCTCACTCTTTACTCTCCATTATGATTCTGCTAGATAAGGACACCTTCCTTATTTTACAGTTTTTGTTTTCCTTTTGCGTTTCATATATTGTTGGTTCTATTTTTTATCTTTTGAGTCGTTTTTCCATTTTATCATTCCGTTCGTTTTCCGTTTAATCGATCGAATGCATGCGCTACGTACGTATGCCGGTTACAATAAAACTTCTACATTAAGTTTCATATTTGATTCGTAAGTTTTTACGTAGTACAAATGGTGCGCGGTCCCTGTTCATATATTTTATGTATGATAAAATCTTTAATCACGATAAAAATCAAAACCAATGCAAAGAGCGTCAGCGTCAGCAACAACGATAGCAACAACGTACTCAGTGATGGCTGCTGAATCTTATTCAGTGTAAAAGCCATTAAAATGATTGAACGTTTCTGAGCGCCAAAATTTGATTATAGATTGATATCCATTGTATTCATTGTTCCGAATGTGCGTGGAATTTTCGACATTACTCTTGATTTGTTGATTACATTTCTTTGTAGTTCATTTTTGTACATCTAATTTGACCTTGTCTTTCGATGTTAATTCGAAAGAGAAATATACTCTCTATGAAACTTATGGAGTCCATTCAGATAATTAAAATTGATTTTAATTTGAATATTCACATTATATTCTCATTTGTTAAATGTATGTTTGAATGTTATTTGTCTAAACTGAATTGTTTCTCTATTTTATTTTCCACAGACGAAAGCGAAAATTCAGTACGAAACATGGCTATATTACAACAAGGTGAGTTGAATTTGTTTTCATGATGAACAATGTCAACATTAGTTGAAAAGCATGGACAAACTGATTATTTGTTATAAATCATTTACTTTTGTGTTCATGAGGTGTTTGGAATAGACACCCAACGGCGAATATCTCCAATTTGTTTTTTGAACAAAAATTATCAATAAAAAAAGTGTTAGTTCGTTCGTTTTTTTTTCGGATGTGTGAGAGCGTACTGGTGAAATGACAACTATATGTGGGTTTGAACTTTTCTATCCTAATGTTTCATCTTTTCCATTTTCTTATCGAAAGAAGAACAGTGCCCGCATAGAAGACCAAAACGTTATGGTTTTTTTGTCGTACATTTTGGATGAACATTGTACAAATAATATGTGAATTTTCTGTCTTTTAACGACGAATGTGTTTTTCGTTTTTTAGTTCGTTATACAATTTATCGCGATCCGGTGTGCATTTTACAACCCAACCAACGGCATTAAGCATGTATTGTATGCGGAAAGTGATATGTACTCATTTGTCATAACATTTATTATATTTATTATCCATATTGGAAGTGGCAATCCGATGTAAAGGAAGAAATGAAGCACAAAGCACATAGAAAATTCAGCACGAGAACCCACGTAAACATGAACATTGAACATGGAAAATTCAAAATAAATTCAATGTTCATCTATATAAAAAGAGAATGAGAAAGGTGTATATTGCGCGTCTTTGTTTTACTAACAAAAAATTTGCAAACACCATAAATCACACGATCGTAAGCAACTGATTTTGAGTAATTTTCACAAACGACAATGATTATGCAATTCATGTAACAGGTCAAAAAATTAGCGATCCAAATATGTATACAATTTATTGGTCACAAGAATTCTAACGCAATGCATAAAATGTGCAACGAATAAAAAATTTATAAAACCTTAACAGCCGTTGTTATTAATTTCGTTTGTTTTTCTCTTCTTTTTTTTGAAAGAAATCGATTGTTATCATTGCCGTTATTGCGTTTGGTCTCGAAACTCAGAATGGATTTGTGTGCACAATGCATTTTTAAGTAATACACACAGTCGCTTATATACAGCAATATGCATACTGACTGCTGATTATCTCTTTTGTGTAAGATATTTTTTTTTCGTTTTGTTGCATTATTATTTTAGTTTTTTTTTTTTTTTTAATTCCTGAACGGAATTATTCTACACAATCGAATTTGTTTGTGTGGAGTTGATCGGGTGTATGTGTGTGAGCTTGTAATCGAATCGCTAATCAGTACTTTATTAAACAAAAAGCCAGAATGGTTGTGATTCTTTTTTTCTTCGATATTTGCTCGTATTTTATCCATTGCCTAAATTAAGTTTGGACTTCTTGGATCTGTATCGTGGCCCTCACATGCGCCCATAGTGTGATGTGAAGTATATGCGATCTCGCTTGCGTTTGTGTTTGTCCCGTTTGCGATAAATTCGATTTCAGTTTTTGCGGTTATATACCGTCGTATTTGTGCATATTCTCATCACGATTGCACACTTAGAGCTCCTCTCATATGCTTCATCACTACTGAAATCAATATAACTGCAACAAAAGGTTTAACTAGATTGAGAAAACGGCAACACATTTGCAGTGAAAGAGACGCTGTGTAGCGTTAAAACGAAAACACTTTTCGTTATTTTTATTGTGCTTTTTTTTCGTTGCATTTTCTTCCTTTTTTCGTTTGTAGTCGGTGTTTGCAACGACCGTGTGGCTATATCTCTGATTCTGTCTTGCGATTTCACTATTACACAAATGTGTGAGTGTGTTTTGCACTGCATTTTTTCTTCAATTGCCTGATAGTTGCTATATTGGTATTATACATTGTAGCTTGCTGCTCAAGACATACGAGCGAGAAAAGTGCGTTCAAAATAAAATCCATTGTAAATGCACATTGCACATGCTTTAAATCGCGAATACACACTACTATGCTAGCCAATTCGATAACAAAAGAGAGAACGAATGAGAAGTGATTCGGCGAATGAAGAAAAAAAAAAATATTCGTGAGATATTTATTACCGCAGAGCACCGAACAGATATCAATTTTCAATCGTTTGTTTCAAGAACATTATCACAATGTTAAAATCTTTCACTTTTATTTGTACGTTGAAAAAGAAAAACAGAAGAAACGGTAGAGATCAAAATAGTGCGATTTCGGGCCGTTGCAACACCAGACGATGGCCAAACACTGAAATTCTTTTCCATTTGCTATTCTATTTGTACTTTTGTAAATGCAATGGCAAATTTTCACGTGGAAACTTGAGGAAAAAGGAAGAAGAAGAGTACAAACGACAAAACATGTAAGCAGTTACAGAAATAACAGCAACACGGTCACACTGATCGGCAGTACAAAATTGAGCGCAAAAAATCAAATATCGAAATAATGTTTAAATATACGTACATTTCGAATACGAACCAATGCACTTATTTAGAATTGTATTGCGTTAGCAATATCGGTTCCTTTTGTATTGTATTACAGAATTGTTTTTATCTTGATCACCAGGTAGTGTATTTCTTACACTGTTCCAAGAGCAGAAGCAACAGCACTCACCATCTCATCACCGTTACACTTTTACAGAGCTAAAATTGCGCGACCACTTCGATTGAGAACTGATTTCTGAACTCATCTCGATCAACTTATTTCATGTATAATTATCATTATTCGCGAAATCTTGTGAATTTTCTTTCGAATTGATACATTTTTAAAAATTGAACTGGCAAAATCCCAAAATTTTCTTCCTTATTGCTTAATAGATTACTTTAACTATTCAAGGACCTTTTGTCAACACTTTTTTTTAAATCGGTTGTATGCTTAACTTCAATTTAAAGTATCCATCGCTTGGTTGTCACATCAACATCATTCATTTTAGCACTTGGATGCGCTTCTTTTTTTGATAGTGTCACAAATTATCCGTGAATTGATTGTATTGTACACATAAGCTCGTCCATGTTGGACAGACAGCGCGAAAAAAAAAAATCGAATAGCATTGTTACAGAGCGAAGTAAGCGAAATTTTTCAAAGTTTTGCTATGTGTGCATGTGAGTCGTCACTCCCATTCTCTTGGTTCATTTATTTGGTGTCACCCTATTGTAGGTGGAATTCAACGATAACGTTTTCAGTAGCTGCGGGTTGCAGATAAGACTTTTTATGTATAAAATATTTGGTGTGTATGTGTTAACTGGTGTGTGGTTCTATTGCGATTTTTCACCGTTGTCTTTTCAACATTCGATTGGCCCATAATCGCATACTAGCTTCACTACTATTTCATTGTTGTCTATTTATTATTGACTACTACATATATTTATGATCGTTTATACTGTTTATTGCTTACTATGGGCACAAATATATACAACGCAGTCGTATACATAGAGAAACAATCGGTGGTCAAAAACCTTGTGCCTTTGGCTGTTGGAATTTTTTCTGTTAAAAAAAATTACACCATATCATGCGATTGATATTAAACCATACACATGTATTATCGAGTGTCACATTGATACACATCCCGTGTATGTGAATGATGGCATTTGATCTATTTATCAGCATAAACCCTTATAAAAAGAATATTGTGTCAGCAGTGTGTTTCAATGATAAAACCAATTGAAACTTATTGCCTCGGATATTTCTTTGGAATATCTTCTTCCAATAAGATTATGGTAAATCATTTACAGTTTACACCATACGGATGAAAATGAATTCTTTTGATTCAAATGATTTAACTTATGTAAAAGAAATATTTTTCCGCCATTTTTATACAAAAATGGAATTTTTGATGCAATTTCTTACGGAACATCATTCAGTTTGAAATGATAATATAAATAGTTTGAAATGGTGAAGATTTCACGAGCGCGAACCGCCCAGGGATACATAAACAAAAAAAAGAATGAATAAAATGCTATGGTTTTTTCACATTTTTCTCATTGAAGCTGAAATCGAGAAGAAATGTAACCGAATAAAAGAATTGCTTAAACATACGAAAGATAATACTAACAACAATTGTTCGTGTTGGCGAAAGATACCGATACGGCTGAAAGTCATGTCGTATGTATAGGTATGATGCAAACATTTTTAACTCACACTCCGCTGTGCATTTAATTCGTTTCTCTCTATTTTCCGTTGTTTTTCTTTTGAATTTGTTAGGTATAGAATGTGGCTATATACGATATTTTCTCAATAACCAAAGGAAGTTTTATTCCTTGCTTCAGTAGTAGTAGTAGTGTTGGTGGAGGTGGTGGTGTTGCTCGTAGTATTAGTCCTGCTTCACTATACTTGTTTTGCATTGCAACACTATTTTCGGTTACTGCTGTTCCGTGAGAAGATAAGAAAAAGCTCAACCCTCTGGTGGATAAAGTGTATCTTTATGCATTTTATGCAGATTGAACAGGGTGATCAGTTGTGCATTTTTTTCAATCATCTTCGAGTACGAGTCGACACAAACGGCTGGTGCTGATCAGAACAATTGAAGCAAAGTGTCATGTGATTTTCTGAAGAATATCTGGATTTTATTTTTCAAACATGCTTTAATATAGCAAAATCGGCTCACCCTGTTACGTTGGTTTTGAGACACATTCGGAAAATGCGAAGCTTGTTCGTGTGCACACAAGTAGCAATCTTAAAATGGTCGAGATTACATTTTAAATTCGGAACGGTAAGGAGTCGTATGCAAATTCTGACGATAAAATTGAGAACCCAAAATATTCATCGTTGTGTGTTTGTATGTGTGTGTAGGTATGAGTAAAGATGCATGGATGCATGCATGCAACGAAAATCAATTGCATATCAGTTCAGATCATGTGCACAATATTCCTTTATTTATCACTCAATCCGAAAATTCCTTCGTTTTCCCTGTTCTTCATCTTCATATAAAAAATATTTTTGCTTGGATTATTTTAGACAAATATTCGGTGATATTGAAAGGAAAAAATTTCTTGGATTTAAATAGCCCCATTTTTACTGAAATTACATTTTTCGTTATCGAATTGGATTTATA